ACCAAGCTTCTGCCGCCCTGGCGTCCTTTTCAACAACATCTTCGTCCCCGCTTTCCTCCTCTAAATAAAAAATGTATGATGGAGGAGACTCATCCACGACCTCCGACACTAAACTCTCCTCCTCTTGCATATTTCCTCTGTCCATAGCGTTCCTTGACAGTGTCCTTTCTAAGTCACCAATATAGCGCTACTTGGTCCCAATGGAATTTCCCATTGGGAATCTACTAGCACTAAGTTGCTAACTGGTTAGCAAGATGCTTCCAATAAAGCAGCCACAATCAAACTTGCTTGCGAACCTTCCGCCATAAGAACCCCGCCCCCTTGATAATCGGCCAATCACATTCACTTTATTCATTCGTGTAAAGTGGTGCACCACTCAGGAAAATTCAGAAATGCAACGGTTGGAACAGCTACTTCCCTACGACTTTAAAATCTGCGTTAGTTCAGGTAGATCTGACTGTCCTTGATTTGGAATTGGAAGACAATTCTGTTTTTCTAAATATAAAGACAGAAAGGTGATGAAGAAGGTGCTCTGGGTACTGGAGAACAAAAAAGTAACTTTTTAACCAACCTGAGAATATTTTGTGTTTTGGATAACAGACATAAATTCAGCTGGTGAAACACGGTGGTTACAGTATCATGCTGTGGGAATACTGTTCCTCAGTTAGAACAGAGAAGCAGGGAAGGCCTGGCAGAAAGGTGGGGGCAGTTAAATAAGAGGAGAAGTTTACCTTCTTGAAGGAGAACAACTGATCATTACGGAAAAGCTGCAGTAGAATGGTGTAGATCAGAGGTCACAACCCCTACTGGGCCGTGGGGGTACTGCAGCACATGAGTTTTTTGGTTTATTCCCTTTTTTCCAGCACATTTTTTCTTTACTTGGTTTTCATTTGTTATAAATCAGCAGTATCTAGTGATAAACTTTCACATTCATTCCCACTAATGATTGACATCAGGGTTTCATAGTTTAATATGTATAGCACTAAAAAGTGAATGTTTTTTTTTTTATGGCCAATAAACAAAATCAAATCAAATCAAATTTATTTGTATAGCCCTTTACTATAACCAAATGGTACCCAAAGTGCTTTACAACAAAGCCATAAAAACAATACATAACACATATAAAAACATACAAGATACAATTAAAAGTGCTGTAGTGGTGCAGTGCTGCAGGACATTAAAAGCCTTCCAGAGGTGCATAGAAAAGAGCACACAGAAAGATGACATCTAAGAGACAGTATTATAGTCAGAATTAAAATCTAAATTAAAAAAGTGGGTTTTAAGCTTTTTTTTAAAAAGGCTGAGGTCAGTACACAGAAAACATCCCTGTCTGTGTGGGAACCTCAGATTAAACCTTACAGCTGCTCCAGCCGTCCACCTCAGCAGTGCTGCTACTGCTTCTGGGTATTGATGATGGATTGTTCAGACTCTAATGGGGGTCATAGCTTTCATCACCCTACCAAACCTCGATTACAGCGGAATGAAAATGAATGGTCACCATTTCTCTCGTGCATCAGAGCAGAATCATTCATTAAAGCAACACCATAAACATTTAGAGGAACAACAAACCAAAGGGCTGCATGCTTTGAATAGATGAGGACATTTGTTTGAGATGTATTTCTGCTGTGTGCAGCTGAAGCAGCTGGGCCACAGCGTGGACAAGGTGGAGTTCATCGTGATGGGCGGCACCTTCATGGCTCTCCCTGAGGAGTACAGAGACTACTTCATCAGGAACCTCCATGACGCCCTGTCAGGGCACACCTCCAACAACGTGGCCGAGGCCGTCAGGTAGTCCACTGTCTGCCCTTTAAAGATTCTCTGGGCTTTTCTGTTTTAGACCATTGATATAACAAAAATATAGAAATGAAGACCACTTTATAGAGCTGCAACTAACCATTATTTTGCTAATCTATTAATCTGTCAATTATTTATTTTTGATTAATCAATGAACAATCTGGTAGCAAAAGGGTTACATAAAGAAGCATTTTCAGAGAATGAAACCAGGTGAAACTAAAACTTTTCCACTTGAGGAGTTTGGAATAGAGCATATTGACAGATGAAAAAGTTTTTTTTGTCTTAAATGCTATATATTTATATATTTGTTTTACAATTTTGTTATATTTACTGCTCTAATTGGGTCGCTTTGACAGCTAAACGCATGTTTTAGAGGCTCTATATTCCAGTCAAAGATTAATTGATTACTAAATTAGTTAGACGAGTATTTGCATAATCAATCAATGCAATTCATTGTATCAGCTCTACTACTTTTATTTTATTATATTCTGTGTCACAGAGCTTTGATTTAAATAAACCTGTTGACACTGAATAACCGTCACTTATACGATGTTCTACATATTTTCACAAATGCAACCTGTTAAAATGCTCGATGATAAACTGGATAATTATCTTGAGTTTCTGTTTACATATTTCCTAATTTTGGGCAATACGATATACAATTACCATGTTTACGTTACCAAAATAAAAGCCTCAGAAAGAAAGCCCATAATGTCAACAACAAAACCAACTTAGTAAAATTGTTTTGCCTTCTTTAGAAAAAATTACTTTTAAAGACAAAACACATAAAACCCAGAATGTCAATCAGTGACAAATGCTTTGATTGGAAATGTAATATCAGCGTTAATGAATAATATTATACTGCTTTATATATAATGCATGGTTAAATGTGAAAAGATTAAATAAGTAAATATAGCATGAAATAAATAGGTATTAATATGTTCTATAATACATAAGTGTACCATAAAATTTGAAATGTAAAATGAAAGAAGTATGTGAAGCACTAAATTGATAAATGAGCCATTTATTTATTTCATATATCATTTACCAAACCATTGAATTATGAAATTTAAAATTAAGTAATTTAATGTGCCATGAAATAATTAAATATACCTTTTAAATGATGACATTAGATAATTGTTTTTTTTTAATCAGTTCATTTACATTATTTATTGTAATTAGTTTAGATTAATTATTTATTTAAATGATTTAAACTGTCAAATGCTCCCATCAAAATCAGTGGGCGGGACTAGTGCCGTTACCATAGAAACCCTGACCTTGAACGTCTGCGCTTCAGTCAGAAACGCGTTACCACAACTTTCTGAGTTTCTTTTGGCACAATAATTCATTTAATAATTAATCCACATTGATTTATTTTATGACACATTTATTTGTTTAATTTTATCCCTCCTTAACGGCTGTAATATATTAAATTATTTTCCAGCTCTAATCTTATCTGGAATCCAGAAATATTAAGATAAAGAAGAAGAATGTATTAAGATGCTGATTAGTCTTCTTTCTCCCTTTAATTTAAATTAAGATTTTTTTTTTTTGTCTTTTTTTTTTTTTGTGTGTTGTTGAAAGTTTATTAAAATCGTCTGTATGTTACAATTTGGCCACTAGAGGGTGCTGTACTATTATTTATCATTTTCTCTCCCAGTCAAGGAACCTGGCTGGTTCTTCCAGGCATACCAATCTCTGGAGGAGTAGGATTGTTTCTGAGCTACCTCATCTCCATTTCCCTGTTTTCAACAGAGAGAAAAAATATAGGTTAAAATTTAATCTGGCTGCTAATCTTTACATTAGTGGATATTTCCATGTTCCCATCCAGAGGACAAAGCTTATAATGTCCAGACAGTGAAAAACAAGACAATAAAAGCTTTTCCTCAGACTCTACAGCACCTAGCATTTAGTATTTTATATTTTATAACAGAAGGAAAAGATTGAGGCAGTTCAGAGAAGCTGTAAGCAGAAAATATATAATGTAGGACAGATAGAGGTAATCAGCCACCAGACCCTGGAATCATTTCCTCTTTTCAGGTTAAACTAGGGTAGAGAAGTTTTTCCCTAATTCATAGAACCCGGTTTGCTCAACATGATTTGACATCTTTTATGTTTTGAGTTAATATTAACAAATTAATGGTTGGACAGACTCTCATGGTTCCCTTATGTACAAACCTTCATGTGTCCATATTTGCCTCTAAAAGCTACTAACAGCTACATTTTATAAAGATTAGAGTCGCATGAAAAAGTCCAACCTTCTGTCACTCATTTAATTTGGTAAAACTCATATATAGATTTGTTACGCATAGGAAGGTCTATAGTGTCATAGAAGGATGTCGTCCATTAACAGGGAGAACAGCAGCCATGATCCCATCGCTGCACTAATTCATGCAAAGGTTGAATATATATATATATATATATATATATATATATATATATATATATATATATTTTTTTTTTTTTTACCAATCCTATTGATTTTTTTCCTTTTCTAAAATGCTGGATTTTGGGTTTTCATTATTTTAATCCAGAAGCACGGATATAACATTAAATAAAGGCTTAAATATTTTGTAGAGGTCATCTGTATAACAGTAATTTAGCTCTCTGAAATAAATTGAAAAAAAATATTGAACTTTTTCATACTATCCAAAGATTTTGATGTCCAAGCGATCATGATATTAATGGAAAAACTACGAAAAAAGTGAGTACAAAATCAAAACAATCTACATTTGTGCTATTATTGCTTGAAATTTCCTCGATGATTCTGTTTCTCTGTGAGCTAAAGGACTTCAGCCTCTGCAAATGGAGCCACTTGGAGTCAAACCAACTGGTTGAATGAATGTTTAAAAACCTCAGCAATCCTTAAATGTGTCATATTACATAAACACGATGATGATTCTAGTGAAGCTGTGAGCTTATTGCTGCTTAACAATGTGATCATAATGTTTTCCATACATTTGCATGCGTTAATGATGTAAAAAAGATAAAAGAAAGGAACAATTCAGCCTCAGCGTTTATGCAGCTAAAGTAGTTTTCAAGCACAGAGTGGAGGGGTGATGCTTTGGGCTTGTTTTGAAGCTACCGCTGGCTTGCAGAGATCCAGTCCGTGTATTCTGCTGTCAAATGTAAGGCAAAGTTCACACGGTAAAATAATCATGTGGATTTCTGCCCCATTTTCTTCCTCTGAGAGGTTCTGATCATTGTGATGGTGAATAGATATTCCTGCTGTGTGTGTAGAGGGTTAGCATTGATCTGAGCGATCAGACCTCAAATCAGTGATATCCAATAGGGGTGTGAGAAGAAATCAGTTCTGTAAGCAATCGCAACATTTGTTCATAATACCAATAATCGCAATATATCATGAGACGATGCTGGTATTGATTCTAAATGTGGCCAAATAGATCTTACATGGAAAAATATTTTTATAGGCAAAAATCCAATTATTGGCCTGCTTTTATTAGTCTTAAGCCTTCAGCGACTGGTTGGCAAGGCACCGTCCGTGTTAAAGGTCTAGAGGAGGATTTTTGTGAATTTTTGAAAAGACCCGCCCTTTCCCTTTAAAAAAAAAAAAATATGCACATGCACAACTCTGTACCCGCTCCCGAGAGGGACCGCCTGTGAGCCCATTTCTCCTCATGCATGCTTTGTTTAAAAGTTGCTGTCTGCATCGCTCATACAAGCTGATTTTCCAAAAGATGATTTGCCATTTTACCACCATGTCAGACTCGCCACCGCTAGGTGAAAATGGGGACGAGCACGAAGGACGGCCTTAGGTAAACATATCACCAGAATGATTGACAATTAGGAGGATCACTTATTTTGATGATCTACCCAGAAAAAAAAACACCTCCATTATACCTTTAATGTATCGGAATAAATCGTATCATGATGCATATCGTATCGCCAGATTCATGTAAATTCACAATGCCAGTTGTGTCTGGACTATTATTATTATTTTTTTTTATTATACTCATCGTGTGTTTGGTAAAGCCGGACATACAATGTGCAATTTTTTTTCCCTTTTAAGGCAGATTTTCCAGTCAAGCGATCGGGCCAAGTTTCCATCGGGCCAAGTTTCAGCCTTGGCGTGCATCGTGTAGTATACAAACATGTTTGAAATTCAGTCGGCCGTCGTGAGGCGTTCGTGGGCAAATCCTGCTGTTGAAGCAAAGCTATGAGCAGATTTACCACAACTTCACGCACTGCACATCTCCAAACAAGGGAGTTCTTCTTCTGAGTCCGACGTGTGGTTTTTGGACCTGCAGTGTGAGCAGGTAGATCGCATCAGAGTGTCGGGCCGTATAGTGTGAGAACATTGTGAGCGATGAAACGGTTGACAATATCGCAGCATATGCCCGGCTTTACATAGGTTACGAAAAAATATGCAACAATTTTATAATCTTTCCTTTTGAACCCGGCATAAAGCTTGGTCTAAATTAGGTGGAAAAAGGCAATGACTAAAGTGTTGTCTTATTTTCTTTCTGCTTAGACATTTTCTTTTTTTATTCCTGATTGATTATAGATTGATAAACTGACTCCTGCCTCTTGTTTGATTTGCTGCACTGCAGTCCATCCTGAGCAGCCTGTAGGAGGACGTCTCCACAGCTCTCTCCCTTTAAAAGGGCCTCTTTGTTTATTTCCATCGATTCCTCTCTAGTTGAGTGGAAATCAGGCACAGTAAGTTTCAAGAGCTGTTTCGTTAAAGTGACTGACTGAAAAAAGGCGCATAACCATCTGATTTGTCAAAATGAGCTGATTAAAAGCCTAATAAGAGCAAAACGCCTTGCTTATTTGAGCAGACTTCTTTTACTTTTTGTCACCAGTGTGTGTCACAGAGTGTGTGAGCAAACCTCACAGGTGTGTGCCTTAATTTGTCCTTCTCTGCTGCCGTCATGCTTTGTTAAGACGCTCTGATTGCTGTAATTGTGTAGAGTGCTGCTCGGTTTGGATAAGCCTTTGCTTGGCTGAAAGGCGCTCCGGCTTCAGCGCGA